GATCTTCAGGTTTCTCATTACTATTGACCCATCCATCGTCACCCTCTTCAATATTTAAATTGGTCTATGTGACAAACCAGTTTGAATGACTTTGGGAAAACTATTTTTTAAATCCATTAAAAAAAAACATTAACAATACAATTTGGAATTTGAGAGCCATGCTTTTCTCCATTAATTCAATTACTTTGTATAGTATGCTACACTCATTACCCAAGTCACAGTGACCTCCCTTCATTCCTGCCAGAGAGTGGTGTGCCTTTCAACCCTTCCTTTCTTTAGCCTTTGCTCCCAGGCAGAAACCCTGAGGGCAGCAGTGTGAGCTGCCATTTAACAGCTGATTCCAGCTGGCACTTGTCTCAGATTGAGGCCATCAATAATTTCTGTGAGACTGAACATCTCATTAAAATGACACGGCCCTGCAAAGATCACAGAAAAAAATCTGCATCTCCAGGAAGGGACCTGGTGGGACCTGGTGTGACTTCCTCAGTGCCTCCGTTGGCATAAAGAATTAGGAAGCAAAGCATCATTGATAAAGGAAATTTGTACCTTCCACTCCTACCCCAAGCTGAAGTCTAATATTAAAAAAAATAATAATACAGGTTGAATAGCCTTTATTTGAAATGCTTGGGAAGAGAAGTGTTTTGAATTTCAGATTGCTTCACAATTTGGTATATTTGCATATACATCATGAGACATCTTGGAGAAGAGATCCAAGTCCTAAACCAAAATTCATTTATGTTTTATATATATGCCTTGTGCCCATAGCGTGAAGGTAATACTACACCATATTTTTAATGCATGGATATTGTGACTGCAACTCATCACATGAACTCATGTGTGAGTTTTTCACATGTCAGCATTTTAAAAATTTCAGTTTGGGGATAATTTCAGATTTTGGATTTTCAGATTAAAGATGATCAGCATGTATTTAAAAGTTCGATGTAAAAAAATAATGTTCTTTCAAACTACTTATGCAGTTGGTCTCAATAAAATAGCAAGGATAAACAAGAGCTAAATACATGCTGGATCTGCATCAGTTACTGAATAAGTACTTTTCAAGGGCCTGACCTCAGAGAACCCACTTAAGGCATATATCAAGATATCAACACACACACACACACACACACACACACACACACACACACCACTATTTATGTATGTAAAATTTTACTGAAGATGCCTATAATCTAATTGGGAAACATATATAACGTACTACAAATCAAACAAAAATATAAACATTACATTAATTGGACACCAAGTTATATAGCATAGACTACTATTATAAGAATTTTGACTAAAATCTAGTGAGCTAATTTTTACATGCTAAAAATGTTTCTGTGAGATAAAATAAGGTAAAACATGGATTCAAAATCACACTGACAATTGTGAAAATCCCTTTTACATACTGCGTGTCAATGAAAGCAAGCTACTAAGGGTTGCTTGTATAAAGACAACTAGAGTATTAGCTGTGCTCTCTAGAATATTTGGATGAAATGTTGACTACTTTATTTATATCTGACCTTTATGAACAAAAGACAAGTATAAAAATAGATTCATAGTTATCTAGGAGGAAAAAAAATTAAGAGCTCAGAAATCGTGATGTGACAGTTTCTATTCATAAGAATCTCCATACATCAGTTCAATGTCTGGGTGTCAGATACTGTCTAAATGAAAAACTGAACATGAGAGGAAAAACTGCCAGTGTTAATCCAGTCAAATTAGGCCACACTCTTGACATTACATCTGCACTTTAAAATTTGGGTTTGATACACACACCCCAGAATTTACATTTAACTCATGCTAAACACATCCATAACATTACAGTGTGCCCCAGGTACATGACAAAGAATACATTTCCTGAGTTGTTTTGACATTATTAAATTTTCAAAAATATGTCATTTCCTTTGCTTCAAGAGAAAACTTTTTTGAATAAAGACAACAGACCTTGAACTTTTTGGCTGTGCAAAATGTTTAGTAATAGATAGTGGTTTGATTAATTGCTTTGACTCTCGAAATAAAAGAATCAATCTGTTTTTAAAGAACTAAGTTCCCTAAGCCATCAGGAACTAATATCAGGTATATCAAATTTGAAATAACCGTAGTTTAAAAGGTATACATTTCCCCATTTTTTCTTTCCATTGGTTATATCAAGATTTAAGTTTTAGTATGGTATAACTCTATCCTCACCACTTCTTAAATATTAGCTAATGCTCTTTCATAACAAAGACCATAGATTACAAGATAAGGACATAATGATATCTAATTAGAATTTAATGTTGTTTTTCTTGGTTCTTTATTTATGTTTAGAACTTCCATTTATTTACGGCAAGTGTACCTTCCTGGTTTCTCATTTACAGAAATAATAACAATTTCCCCTGCAAGTAAGTTTGAGAAAGTGAGTCAGTTTAAGGAAAATATTCAGAAAATAGTAACACACATGGTACTCAGATAAGGCTAAATGTGTCCAATGGTAATTCACAAGTGACAAAGATTAGGGAAACGGAGCTAAAATAAACATAATAAAGATATTTATCTGGGGCTGGGGATATAGCTTAGTTGGTAGAGTGCCTGCCTTGCATGCATAAGGCCCTGGATTGAATCCACAGAACCACCCCCCCGGCCCCCCCAAAAAATATATATATGTGTGTATATATCCATTCTTTGAGTCCATGTTAATAACTTTAATATTTTCAATGATACAATATGGAATTCCTAAATTTTCATTTCTGTTGGCAGGGAACTGCAACCTAGTATTTAACCCCCCAAATGTGTATAAATTATTGATACAATTTGTTTGTATTAGAAGAAAGAACAAGAGGACTTTTAATAAAAGTAACTTGAAATAGTTTCATGGTTATGTTCCACAGAGGTTTGGAGGTAACTTTAAATACTGCTGTATCATCACACTATGAACCTAAAAATCTGTAAGTACCATACAGGAAAGATCATATTATAACACAGCTACTTGGAACCCTAAAATGATGCTTCCTACCTGTGGTTCTGCCATAGTACATGGAAAATAATGTGCATATACTAGAAAAATCAATAGCACACTCATACAAAATTCTCCCTTCCTGCCTTTTTTTTTTAAATTAGGCAATAACATCTACAGGGTTGTAGATGTTGATTATGTTCCTTTCCATCCAAGAAAACTAAATGAAATGGTAAATAAAAACTTAAAAATACACCAATATAATGTGCCTTTAAAAAAAAAAAAACATTCACACATCAGTGCTTTACCCACTCTTAGCAACAAGTTGTTAAGGTGACTCACAAGTGATCTCCTGACACCTTAATCCAGACTCACTTCCCTGTTGTTGGAGTACAGTGTCAGTGTCCCCTCTTTACACTCTGAGGCCAGAAGTACCCAGGGAATGACTAGAAAAAAGCATGACTTGCAGATAAGGTGACCCAGGTCACTGGGGCTGGTACCAGTTATTTAAAATTTGATAAAAACAACTAATAGTTTGAATTTACCTACAATACTTTAAAAAAGTACGACTTTAGTAATATATAGAAAAATAATTCTGTAATAAGATTGGGGAAAATGAAGGTCTAGTTTTTGACTCAAAAATGTGAAGACTCACAAAATCTGAGTGGCAACCCAAATTTTCTCCAGTGCAATAATGTGCTCAACAATATTGGAAAAACTGTTAACTCCTTTTATAGGTAAGATGTAGCATTCACTGGCACTGAAGATGCCAGTTGATTTAGTGTTTTCTGATTCATATTTTAAAATATATAAATTAGTGACTTTTTTTAAATTAGAAGGTATAACAAAGTGGAAGAATAAAGGATATATGTAAACTGTGCTATAATATAAATAGTTTGCTAAAGATCCAGAGACCTGATCAATATCACTGATATAAAATCCAGCCTTACACTGGTCCAACTCAATATGCCTTTTAATAAAAATAATTCCTATTATTAATTATGACAGAACCATGAAGTGTTAACACATATGTGTGTCTCACACTTGCCACTATAGAATCAGTCAACAACAATCATTTTAGCTTCATGATTATGTTATTAACTTACCTTTGCCAACACAACAGGAACAGAGCCATGGTCAACATGGGAGTTTAGGCATCTCAATAATAAAGCCATCTTGTTTTGCATCTATGCTGACACTGTAATGACCTCACACTGTCAATCACTCTTTCAAGGAAAATTTAACAAACGTCTACTAAGCATGGTCCAAGATTACAGTGAATCCATTCACATCATCTGTGTTCACCATACACATCAACTGCACAAAATATTGTGAATCAAGGAAGCTAAAGTGAGCACAGCATTAAACAATAATCTCACATTAACCAAAATAATCAAATAGAACTTTATACTCAAGAGTCAAATATTCACAATATTAAAGCACAATCACTAGGGATTTTTTTTTTAATTGTTCAGGGTTAGCTAATAATTTTACTGTTACTGTTGCACTCTGAGTCTCTTTCAAAGAAATTAGAAACATATTAATTAATACATCCATTCCTTCCCAAACCATCATTATAAACTTTTAAGTTTAAGGATCCATACTTTATAAATTAGAGAAACAATATAATAAAATATCATTTTAATCAAATATAAAGAAAAAATAATTTTATGAACCAGAGTAAAAGAGATTTAAAAAAAAGAAGAAGAAAAAGTATTCACTCCTTGGATCATGTAGGCATAGACGTTACAGAAATACCTACATGAAACACAGTTACTATTTTTTGTTAGTAGGTACACACTTAAACATCAATAGCTTAACTGTTTAACATTCCCACCAAGGTAGAAATGCAAATTTTGGAAAAAGAGCCTATAATATTTTAGTCAATAAGTGAACACAGAAAGCATTTTGTTACCATCAAATTGCAATAATGGTGGAAAACCACAGAATTCTCCTGCTATTTGTATTAAAATTACCCCTCAAACATCCATCAGAGGTTTCAGGCCCAACTATAATTCTGTGTTCACCCATTCTGTACTTAACATTAATGTGTTCTAAGGAGTACTACCATGATCTTTGAGATTTCGAAGAATCACAGCAGGAAGGCTGTGGGACTGCCACCCTGTCCCTAACTTGGCCTCTAGTTCCTTAACGTGGGCCCTGAGCATGAGGGGTGGCACTTTCAGAAGCAGGTCAAGAGGCAGCAAAGCTGAAGAAATAAAAGGGGGAAAGGTATGAAACTGTAACATAAATCACACTGAATTTCAGGAAGGTATGTTGCATTCTATTGCTACCAACACTCAGTTACCTGGTCTTGGTCTTGATCCTATTCCTCCAATGTAGTCCCTGGAAACCAAAGTAGAGGCCATTAGAATGACTCTTTAGACTTGGACTTGACAAACATTTGCTCTTGGCCTACTCGGCTGTGGTCTACATTATAAATTTAAGTGCATGCTATTCTCCTTCAAGACACTCTCGAGAGGTTAAGGGAAATAAATTCGAATGCAGAACAGAATGGTCATGCAAACAGGTAGACATGGAAGAACTCTTGTCTCACCAGGGTTGCTTATAAGTTTTAAGTACAATTAAGAACATAAATCTTCATGCCCTGTGTGATTTTCTTATTACACTTAAAATCAAAACAGTGACTTTTGTACTAAAAAATATTTAAATGTTATATGTTGGATTTTCCATGATTGGTTTCTGTAGTCTTTGAAGGAAAAAAAAGAAAAGAAACCTATAAGTCTTCCGTTGACATGAGATGATGTTTTTTCGTTTAAAAGGGTTACTTTTCCTTAGAGTTTCTAGTGCTGTTCATATCCCTTGATTTTCTTGCCTCTAAATTCTAGACTGCCTGATCATTTCGAAAGTTGGTGTCAGGCCTTCCACCTAATCTCCAGTCTTATATTTCCCACCATAACCCTGCAGCCAGTTTCATACTTGTTTTCTGTAATGAAATGAGAAACATCTGTGCCCTGACAAGCTACAAGAACTATACTTCGATGTAATGCAATCCAACAAAACAATATATTGAACATCTATGAGGCACATGATAGGTATTTTCTCAGTAGGAGTGAATGTTAGGTTTCAAATACAAGCAAACATGACTGATAATTCTCTTGCCCCAACTCTTTCATTTTAATCATCAAATTTTCTATACCTGTATCCAACTCACACCTAAATTTTTAACAAAATTGCACTCATACCACTTAAGTACCAGAACAATACAATACCAAATCCCTTGTATCCACCTATGAGTTCCTTCTCTGTCCCTTTCTACCCCCTTGACTCTCACCAAGCCAGCCCCTCTCTTGATCATATATATATATAATTTTTTTCCTGTTCCAGCCCAAGTTTCCAGAGCCCTGAAATATAATGAAACTCGCCAGTTTTGGAGTGTTAATATATTTTCCATAGACCTCTGATAAGAAACATGTTTAAAGAGAGAAAGTAATGGACAAGCTCTAGGAGAGTTCAATAGAGAAAGGTTCACAGGAGTGCCCCCGTGTGGATGGGTAGCCTCAGGGCTGGGCTAAAGAGTTGAGCATTTGCTTTGGCTTCCTCACATCCTTGAACATGCAACAGAGCCTGGAAAATGCTTTTGGGGTACCATTATCTCCTAGCCTTCTGGATGAGTCCAGCACTGCCCAATAAAAATATAATGTAAGCCACAAGCATAATTTAAAATTTTTTCTGGTAGCCACATTATTAAAAAGTAAAATAAATAAATAAGGTGAAATTAATTTTACAATTTATTTAATCAAATATTTCCCATAATATTATCATTTTAACATGTAAAATAAATGACTTTTTACATGGTTTTACATTTAAAATAATATTAAGTAAAACTAGAAAATTCAGCTCCTAGGTTACGCCAGCCACATTTCAACTGCTCAAGAGTCAGTCACAGGTGCATAGCACTCTCCATATTTAACACTGCAGATGCTTCCACAGAAGGAAGTCCTCATACACACATTAGAGTCATGCCATATAGTTGCTAACTCTACAGTAGTAGCCCAAAACAGGCCTCATCATCTTTAAAAGGTGAATAAAAAATCCAACTTATGGAGAACTTTTATCCAAGTTTATGGGTGTTCCTGAAAAGCTGGTAACCACTCATATACTGAGTTAGATGACTATTGTTGTCCTGAAGAACTCAATATTTCATACACTTGCACATATTAAAAAATAGAATACGTAGTAGGATGTGTGAACGAGGCCCTTCTGGCAATGCCAGGTTGTACCACCTTTGTTACTCCTTTATATAATTCTAAATTCTTCTTTAATCAACTTTGGTGAATGTTTTCAAAGAAATATCACACAGTCACTCATTTATTCATCCACTAAATAGTTATTGAGTTCCTACTCCAAGTAGGCACTGTGCTAGACACTAGAGAAGGGATGGCCAAAAGAAACCAGTCTCATAGTCTTGGACCTTAAGAGATTATTAAGTATAACAGGGAAAAAATATATTGATTTCTCTGGAAACTATATCATTAACCATAAGAAAGTAGTCATCTGAAACTTCAAAACAGAACGGATTCATTGTGACCAGTGGTGACAGCTTCTGCTGTGCAATTGTTTTTGCTCACAGATGGACAAATGACTGAAATTATGCAGAGCCTGAGGGAAGTCGGCCTCTCTCTCTAGATTGAAGCATGTGGAGTGTTTATGTCCAATGGAACATTATGGCCACAGAGGATGGCGTTCCCATAATAGCTCAAGCTGGAAAACACAAAGGAAACATTCCAGACATTTTTTTTTGGTGAAAAGGCCCAAACATATTGAAGAATGTGACCTCTGAAAGTTTTAACATGAGTGCTAGCCAATAGCAATTCAGACGGACCAAAGGAGGTTGAAAGGATTCCAAAAGGCCATCACCTGCAGGACTCTTCTGATCTGCTGTGACCTTAAAAGAGAATCTGGAGATGTCAAAAATGAGTGTGAGCCTACAACTTCCACCTCAAATCACTAATGGGTAAGGTGGAGAACATAGACATGAGTTGTCGTTGTTGTTTTGTGTTTTTTTTTTTTTGTTGTTGTTGTTGTTTTTAATTTTCAGTAGACTTTTCACGGAATTAATTCAAACAGAGCATGAATTATTGGGCCAATTATTTTGTCACCAGAGTCCTGGCTATGAAGGAAATAAAGCTCTAGACTTGTCTCTCTCATAAGAATTTCTTTAAATATATCTCTGAACGAAGAAAATATTTTCACATGGATTTTAGTGTATCACATAACTAAATTGTGAAAAGTAGTCAACACTGCTTGATGTTGACAATAATTTTAAAAAGTTTTAACCTTTTAAAATGAGAAGCTTGGCTTACAATATTAAGAATATGCCTTTCGAGGCTCTAGCAACTACACCAGAGGAGCTAACGAGGATTTTACAGCCGAAAGTCTCTTCTGCGCAGTGACATTCATAAGCATGTCTTGTGTGAATAAGTGACATTAGGTAGGGTTGAGCTCTCATATTCAATAAGGGCCCTCATCTATCTGTAAAGTTAATAGAGCTGCTATCAGGACCAGGAAGCGTATGATGCTCCTATGCCCTGCACTCATATTGCAGTGACAGCCAGAAACAGATGAGCAATATGCCAGCAGAGTGTAGAACTGTTGAAGGAAAGGAATCGAGGGGGGCATTGTTTTGTTTCCATTTTATTTGTTTTGTTTTGCTTGGAAGGCGGCTGGACTATGATATTGGCAGGTAGGCCAGGTTGATTCTGGCAAGTCATGGTCAAGAAGAATCCATTTCATCAAAGGAAAACTAGATACAGACTATGAAAAAGGGCTGAGGAGAAAATAGCCACAAGTAAAAATAAGCAAGACATCTGTTAAAGGTGGGAATAATCACAGGTTCTAAGATGGCATAAGGGTCTTTGGGGTCGCATCCTTGATGCCTTATGATTACAAAGACCATCATCGTCTCTATACACAAAGATTAGAGTCAGAAGCATACTCTCAAACACAAATATGCATCACCAATTTATCAAAGAAGTTGTGAACCACAGGCATCTCTGGTACTGCAAACATCTGATGTCTCAAACCAGCTTGCCAACTATACCCTGGGTTGCCTTGGCAACAGGAGGCAAGCAGGCATGGAAAAATCTTGTTGCCTGAGCAACCGAATCTTAAAAAAAAAAAAAAAAAACAACTAGGCCTTAAGCTCTGACTATGTCAAAAGCTATAGATCCAAGCCAATAAAGAAGATTTCAGTTCTTTACAGTGAAAAATGGTAGACTCAATCAGACATAACTTTCCTATGTACATATACGAATACACCACAGTCAATATCTACATCATGTACAACCACAAGACTGGGATTCTAATTAGAATAAGAGGCACTCCGTGTTTGTGTAAATACATCAAAATATATTCTACTGTTGTGTATAACTAAAAAGAAAAAAAAACCCACAGTTATTTATCTATTAATTAACAAATGTTTATGGACTGGTACCTATATGCAAGATACTGTGTTCAGGAATGCAAAGATAAACCACACATAGTTTGGAGCATGCTTGATACACAGTAATAAATATCACCTTAAAAAGTAAATAAATATTTCTGATGGATTCTCACTGTGTTGTCAAAATTGGTCTTGAACTCATGGACTCAAGCAATCTCCCATCTCAGTCTCCCAAAGTAGCTGAGACTATAGACATGCACCAACCACCATGCCCAGTTCAGATGAATATTCTTAAGAAGGCAATTTTTACAATGACCAGACATTACTAGGATTTTAGTTTAATAGAGGTTGAAATTCTTATGTGCCTTATCAAATTTCACTCTACAGAATGATTTAAGTTAAATAAAATGTGACTTACTGGATTAGAACTGGCATACATATATATATATATAGAATCAACCTATAAAGCTATACATAAAAGCTCATCTTCAAAACTGTTAAGCCCATTTGTAATCTTTCCTGGCAAATAGTAATGCAGGCAGAAGATTTTTTTTATGAAATTGTTAAATGACTGAAGTTAGAAATTCCAAAGAAATTGGGGAGTGGTCATCTCTTGGTCTTACTATTAATTATATTCCCAAAAAAGTTTGGGCACCTTCCAATTCTAATATTGAGTTTGCTTTTTCTAGCCTTCAACTTCTATATTTCCTTCAGGAGGCAGAAGCTGTCCTTTCTAGTTCTATTTGCTCAGGTTTTACCCTGTTGGCCTGACTCATTTGCAAAATAAAGCCTATCCCAAGTTATTAGGGAGTTGTTTTAGCTCTTAATTGGTTTAAGTCTAGCTCCTGCTATCTGGAGTGACCAAAGTCAAGAATGTATGCCCAAGCGCTCTCTCTGTACTATTTAGCCAGGGCCAAGTCTGAGTTGTGCTCAGATCAGGTATACACTTCCCTGTGACATCTGTTCACTGGGACCAACTCCCTGTTTTTATGAGCCAGTAAGAGTCTGCAAGAGGGAGAGCTGCCCAAAGTCTCTTTATAACTGTTACACTATTTGCTACATGGCACAAAATAGACAAGGAAAAAAACCTCTACACGCTTGATTTTCTATTTTTTTTTTTACTCTATAATGTAGCTTTAGTATCTTCTTTTATATTTGCATTTATCATTTTGCTTCTAAATGTTTTGTGGGATGAGTTCACATTTCACATGAACAAAACAAGAAAATCCAAGCAAATTAGACTGAAAATTAATTTAGCTCTATTTAATGTTTTTCTTAAAATTATAAATACATTTTAGAGATCTCTCCTTTTAATTCAGAGAGGACTTAAGGATCACCCGGAAGTCAAAAAATTATTAATTTTCTGCCCTCTCCCTTGACAAGAAGTACAGGCTGTCTTTTCTCATAAGCTCTCCTGCAGCCTTGCCCTTGTCTGGCATTACACTGTGAGTTCCTTGAGGGAAGAGAGCTTGTCTTAAACTAGCCTGTGTTTCCTGATGTCATGTCATACCACAAGTGCCCTTACATGGCAGAGCTATGCAAATGTTACATCATGTTTTATCTTCCTCAGAACATAGTTTCCAAAGTCTCAACCTCAGTGTACAGGCCATTTTCCATTTGTTAACATGTTCATAAACCCAAGTTAAAGCTCACTCCGTAAAACTGAAGCCAAGCCCTTATTCAGGGCAGGCTGGAACACAGGCAGTGAACATGGGTCATATCCATGCAGAGCCTGCCATGCTGACATGGCAGGAGTGGTGAACCAGCATGCCAAGCCCTTCTCCCTACCCCTCCCCGCACATCCCAGCCTGGGAGTATGAGCAGCAAAACGGAAGTGGGGGCAGGTCTGAATGGAGGAAAGTTCAGCTCAAGTGTTAACCAGTAGCAAGAGTACTTTCCAAGACCTAATTAGCATAAATTTGGACCAATAACACTGGTACTTTTCCAAAACCTGATTATCATAAACTGAACCAATTGCATTTGACCCAAGAGCTATATAAACCCCTACACTGGTACACTCAAGTGACAACCTGCTATCAGGTCCCCTCTTACCCTATGAGAGTTCTGTCTCTGTTCTTCCTACTTGAATAAATTCTACTTCTTTTCACTCTTGCCTTCTATTGACCATGAATTGAGTCTTTTATTTGCAAGACAAGAACCCAGCAAAAAGAAATTGACAGTGAGCTGCTGGTGTCTGCTGTGACACTAGTAGGCATATCCTGCCACTGAGAGCTGCAACATGCCACTCGATAGTAGTGAAGAAGAATCCAACTTTGCCAACTGTAACCCTCAGAGCTGACACCAGTAGATGTGCCCTGTCATGATTAGCTGCTAGTAGCACTAAAAGACCCTTTCTCAGTTGTAGAGGCCTGCAGCTTATACAAACCCCACCTGCAAGTACAAACAAAGAATCTAGTTTTATCTCAAACTGGTCTCAATATCTACTACAGACAGAACTTCTCCTACCTGCCGATTTCAGTTTACCCAATTTTTTTACAAAATGTTTAATGACTAGCTTTTTAAAAACCATCTCAAATCTAAATATATGGTGCATATATTCCTTTTTATTTCTTTCTTCTTCTTCTTCTTCTTCTTCTTCTTCTTCTTTTTTTTTAAATAAGGTAATTTTCCATGGGTCCCTTTAGAAAATAAGAGTAGAATTATTTGGTGCTGCCAAGATCTCTGAATTCATCTGATTGGAAATCTCCATTTTAATATAAAAGTCTCTTACCTGGGAAGTACAGCCATATGTCATAATTTTCTTTTGTAATGCCCCAGCTCTAACAGTCCCTCTACCTAGCTCTACTCAGCTCTATGTTGGTTGTTCCTAGTGGACCAGACTCCTGAAATCTAGACACTTCTCTCTGCAGAGGCCTAGAACATCCTCTAACAGATAGACATCTCTTTTCTAGTTCTGCAGCTTAACTGTATCTCTCTCTCTCTCTCTCTCTCTCTCTCTCTCTCTCTCTCTCTCTCTCTCCCCAGACAAAGAGAAATCTAAATGCCTGCCCTCTCTCCCCTCTGTGTTTTTCAGGCCTACTCTTTGGACTCCAAGCTACTCTGTAACCATACATTGTTAATCTCTTTCCCATTTGAATCTCTCTTCTTCCTTGGTTTCCTCTGCACAGTTCCAAATACCCTGAGGTTACCTTGATTGTAGGAGGTCCTATTTCATCAAACATCACCCACAAATTTCTCCAGCTTACTCCTCACTCTCTTCAACTGCCTCTACTTCCTGCTGCTGCAACTTTAAGACTACCAACAATCCATCCTCCTCCTTACCCCTTGCCACTGAGACTCTTCTCAAGGTTATCAGGGACTTGCAAAAGCCCAAATCTAATAGTTTTATTTCAGTCCTTACTCCAAAAGGCAACTGTTACTGGCACAACTAATTGTCCTGAAATAATTTCTTTCTCTAAAAAAAGAATATCCCAAGTATATTCTATCATCCCTTGCAGCTAGATGTGGTCAAAAAAGAAAATTCTGGCCAAAATTATGTGTGAACAGTCATGGGCACAACAACTGATCATATTCTTAAAAAGAAAGGATGTGCACCCAATTCCTTTTTCCTTTTCATGGCCACACTTGCCATGAGGATGAGATGTATACCTTGGGGATGTAAAGGAACCAGGTAAAAAGAGCCAGGGTCCCAGACGGCCTCACGGAACTCAAGTGTCCCACCCCTGCACCCACAATGAGCTCAGGGAGACTAAGTGACTGAAGGTCACAAAGCTAGAAAAAGGAAGAGCTGGACTAAAATCCAAGTGCAAGCCTAGTACTCTTCCCAGCATGCTCCTTGGTAAGCTGGGAGGGTTGGTTCTGGGAGGTCAGGCTCTGACAGTCTCCATTTCTGTAAGTCCATAGTATCTTCTGGCAATCCATTTCAATGTAACCACCAATCACTCAGCTCTATAAAGTTTAAAAATACTTCTAGGAGCTCAACTTGTACATACCTCATTTGAGATTGTCTTTCTCCCCCAGAAGCACTAAAACTTCTCTTTAAAATGCCTGAAACAAGAGAATAAAAATAACTTATGTCCTCTGCAATTTTTTTTTTCAATGCTGCATTTCTGTCATCTGAACAATTATACATACTGTAAAGATGCTCTTTGTTCATGAAAGCATCAACTAAAATATAATGTTACAAATTACTATCTATTTGACAGGTTGGTTTAGGGGCCTTTCTCCAAAGAGTAGATGTTAAACCACCACAACAAAAAAATGTTATTAATAGTTAGCAAAATACAATAGCATGTCTGTGTCCTAGTCATCCCCCTAAAGCCTTTGCCAAGACAGCTACACATTACCATATACAAATTCCTGCCTCCCTATTGCCCTTCCCCACCCAATCACTGTCACCAGGGATAAACAGCACTGACCTCTTAGAACAGAACTGATTGCCTCTAGAATGTACTATGCATGTTTATATAGATAAAAAGTTTCTCTCATGTAATATTCATGATTTTCCAATTGCAAATCAAAAAATTTTATCTATCAGGCAGGAACTTACAGGGGAAATAGGAACAAGGTTTGGAAACTGTGATTGCACCAAAAAAAATCTGGAAGATCTAGTCATCATTTTGATGGACCAATGAAGTTTTAAAAAGACAAAGGATGTAACTAACTCCTTAGAGTTCCACTTTCATCCTTAAACCTTCTTTTTTGAGACTCTCATAGCAGAGTCACTGAGGAGAAAGAATTATTTACTCTTAATTTATTTTGGAGGATTTCTATGTATAATTTCTATCTTCTATCAACTTACTATTTTGAGAGAATTATGTTTTTTCTCCAACTTCCATTTTAATATTAAAACCATATTAAAATGGAAGTCTTTCCGTTTCAGGTTTGTAGAGTGTATTTGATCCTATCTCTTTTTTTAAAAAAAAAAATTGTTTTAGTTGTAGATGGACACAATACCTTTATTTTATTTATTTATTTTTATGTAGTGCTGAGGATCGAACCCAGGGCCTCACACATGCTAGGCAAACACTGTTACCATTGAGCTACAACCCCAGCCCCTGAACTTCTCTTTTCTTATCTTTAAATTCTATCTAAATATGTATTTTCCTTTTCCGTTTTATTCCTCAGTATGACTATTTTCTTTCCTGTTTCCAATTAGGACTAACAACACTGGGTGAATTTATATATCATATTTTTTCATAGTTCTAAAAATATTTTGTTTCACATCAGTGTTCTTAAATATAATGTATCCTGTCACATTAACGTAAGTAAAATTGTACAAAAATGAGTCCACACTAAGGCTAATTTCTTCCACAGGTTTCTAGCCCCTCTGACCAACAAATCATAAAAGGCCACTGCTGTGGTTCTCGTGGTTAGTTCTCATGAAATTGGTTATTTCAGTTCCCCAGTTAAAACCTGCAATTTGCTGGCAGAAATAATGAAACCATCCCTTTGACAGCAGAGGAAATGTAAACCACAGTGCTGGCTGGCCTCTGGGCTCTGTCAGAGACAGATGCGCCTGTCCTCATTAGCAAGACACCTGGAAAACAAACCCAGGCTGTGCATTGGGTCTAGCTCCCAAACCAATACCTGTTGGGATCCCACAGATAGCAAACTTGTACAGAAAACTTACTGAAGGTCGACTCTTTCAAAGGGCTCGAACTGGAGCTGCTGGAGTTATCCGAAACATCCAACTCATCATCCAGCTCTGAATATATATCTGCACATCAGTAAAAATTTAAAAAAAAAGCAAATGAACCTTGAACCAGAAAGAAGTCAAGAGTAATGTAATTCATGCTGACACACTGGCCTCAGAAGCACCTTTCTCAATATGCTCCAGGTGGAAGGCGTCATCTGACAGGGTTTCATCACAGGCCCTGTCCTCGTCCTTCCCACAGGGAGGCTGGAAGCCTTCAGGGGGCAGGTCTGCACTTTCGGAGAGCTCACTTTTCAGGCTGGCTGCGCCACTGCTGCTGCTACTCAAACTGGCCTTCTCAAAGGTTTCCTGGGAAGAAGAATTCAATTTTTAATGCCCATTTCCTCTTTCTCTCTCCCTCTGCTGCACCTAAAGCCTGTTAGAACATATTTTGAAATGCGAAAAATAGCATTATAAATATTTAATGCAGAAGTAACATCAGTAGTTCCAGCTGTACACCTGCTATGGGATCCATTCAGTCCACAAATACGAAAAAGAAAAAGAAAGAAGGAAAAAAAAAAGAAGTAGGTCTACAAGCTACCATTGGATAAAAAGGCCTGGAGATAGCAAGAGTGCTCTGTAACTAAGATCTAAACAATCTGCTAAGGGGGGAAAACTTGTACCTCTAAGGAATATAGCGTGTTAAGTTTTTTTCCTAAAATATTTGCTATCGAAGTCTCTCAGCACCATTGCAGATGCAAGGAAAATTGGTATTAGACAAAGCCACACCATGGAGAGAGAGAGATGAAGTCCCCCTAATGATGAAGAATGGCAGTGAAGAAGACACTCAGACCACTCAGGACTCCAAGTTCCCACCTGCCTCACCCTCTGGAACTAGACACAAGCTCTTTTAGGATCCTCCAAAGGTATGGGGGAGCATTTCCATTATGATACCTCCCCCAGGTCATCAATGCAATCGTGGATTATTAGACACCATGAAAAGTACATCTAAGATTCAATTCAAATAAAGAAGAAAGATTAATGCCCATCAAATGCTTGAAGTGCCGATTTTTGTAAGGAAAGACACTGGGGAAGCAACTACATATTGATTCAGGAGAAAAGTGCCCCCTTTTTCCTTAACCCAAATAATTCTCTGTGTGAGACTGTTTGCAGCAAACATGAAGAAACTTCTGTGGGGCTGAGCAGAGCCAATAAACCAAAGGCATAGATCACGGAGACCAAAAGGACAATGGAAGAAAAGTCATGGAAGAGGAGAGGCGAACAGCTAGAGAGTGTGAGAGGAAAGCAAAAGTCTGCAGTTATAGAAAAGGGGAGAATTTCTTTCATGAATTGTATCAAAGATTGATTAGCCACAAGTCAACCACCCTTTCTTTGCTAAAAGGTTCCAATGATGAACGAAGCCCCTGAGACACCAGTTTGTGTTTATCGGTTTATTTATTTCATATATTCTTTTTTCCCATAATTAAAGTGACACCCACATCCTCAAGGGGCCAATACCAAAGACCTCCATGGTGATATGATGTGCAGATGAAGAAAAGACCCTATGGGTAAGTGGAGTCAGAAGTAAACCTATAAATGCTTTCAAAAATGAAAAAAGAAAAAAACATATAAAACATCTTGTGTGTTGTAAACAGTCTACTTAATTACTGTTTACTATCCCTTTTCCCTAAGAATCTTTTCAGTCTCATTCTTCAAAGTTTCATCAAGTTTCTTGTTTCACTGAAGTTACTATGCACTTTTACTCCAATTTTCTAGGGCTCATCTTCCCAATATTCAAAGTGGGGTTTTATGACTCAGAATTCTTCACTCCTGCTTCTTGGATCCATCCTGGTCCTCTAACTTAGAACCTGAGATGGAAAATGTTTTGTACCCTTTTGAGAGAGCTGAATGTGTCCTGCGTAGAAATGTCTCCAGTGCCTAAAGGGAGTAAGGGGCTTCTAATGCTAGCTTCAGCCCTGCCCATACCTAGCTCTTGATACCAAACCCAGGAGCTTCAGGCCTAAAACTTTACCATGAAATTCATTCAGTATTTCCCAAGCCCACCTCTTTTTCTAACCCAATCCATAGAATTCTGATTCCTCTATTCTCAACTGAAGTCATTAAAAATTTACTTGGAAATAACACCCAATTTAAGCACTTCTCCTTATGATCCTCCTTAAATCTAAATAAGTTATCTCCTGCCCTATTCTAAAGATCATAATTGGCATTTCCCACCCTCTATGGACTAAACACCCAAGGTGTGTCAATGCTATCAATGTTGAAAAAAGATGAGAGAGAAATTTTTAGTTGAGAAAACTTTATGGTGCAAATGCAATTAGATGCAAGAATTCATATATTTCTAAAACTACCCAAAATTTAGTTAAAAAAAAAGATTTCTTTCTCAAGAATACACATGTATAAGAAAATCAGAGGAAGTCAATTTTCTTCACACAACTCAGGAGTGAGGAGAAGCTGTAAGTCAGGCAATTCCAGACTTAAGGCCAGACTTGCCACCAATACCCAAGAATTAGTTGGGCTGTAAATCATGCATCACTTGCAAATGCCAAAATTGCATCTATGCGGGGCTGGGGTTGTAGCTCAACTGTAGAACGCTTGCCTAGTACGTGCAAAGCTCTGGGTTTGATCCTTAGCACCACATAAAAATAAATAAATAAAATAGAGGTATTTATTTTTAAAATTTCATCCATGCACAGTTGGGTATTTGTATAAATTCTGATAAAGTAGAATTTACGATCTGAAGGAAGTGCTTTTCTAGACTTTATAAGCATGGAAAGTATAATAAGAATGTGTAGTTGTTTTGGTTTTAAAAACCTATATGTCTGTAATGATATCTTGTAGCAGCTCTTGCTTTGAAAAATCAATATAGATTTGTCTTTGCTATAAGCCATACGCCACTGTGGGCACATTCTTCCTAATGTGATTTCCGGAAGTTTTCATTTATTTTCTTTCCTTTTAATCCCTCAGCATCTTGCACAATATTTGTGTGTGTGTGTGTGTGTGTGTGTGTGTGTGTGTGTGTGTGTGTGTGTGTAATGCTAGGAATTGAACCCAGGACCTATCAGATGCTAGGCAGGCGCTCTACCACTGAGCTACATCCTTAGCTCCCTGTACAATGTCCTAAATACAGCAAATATTCAGTAAATAGTCCCAAGTTGAGATCAAAGGGAAAGGACCAGAGAAGCAGGTGAAATTCCTTATACAATGAATGTGTTTGTAACTTTCATGCTTTTTGATCTCACCCAGAAGCCTACATCATGAAGTTCCCTTAAGGGCTGAAGGGATGATCTGGTGATGCACCTGTGAGTAGGAGAAGACTTCTCCCTTCCTATTTCCCATCTGTACTTCTGAGAAGTAGTAAAGCTCATCTGTCTTCCAGGTGGCCACTTTAACAATGATGACATGCCCTTATAACCCAGCAGGCACTGACCAAAGGCAGAAGATGATTGAATGCTTTTGCTCTAAACATTGAGGCCACGAAGATGTGCTCATAAGATACCTCTAACAAGTACAAGCTTATAAAGGGATTTAGGAAGGAAGGAAGGAAGGAAGGAAGGAAGGAAGGAAGGAAGGAAGGAAGGAAGGAAGGAAGGAAGGAAGGAAGGAAGGAAGGAAGGAAGGAAGGAAGGAAGGAAGGAAGGAAGGAAGGAAGGAAGGAAGGAAGGAGCAGCTTTGTGGGATAGAATTTGGCTGCTATTACTTTTTTTACTTTCAAATTACTTAAGACTTTTCAAGGAATAAGTAAGAAAGAAAGGAAGTTAACTTTTTTTTTTTTGCATCTGCATCTCCTAGGAATGGATGGACACATTCTGTGCATCAATATGGCAGCAAGGAGAACACAATGCAATCAGACAATAGAATTATCACTGATATGGAAATCACCATTGTTATATGAGACACTTCCTGTCACAGTTCTGGTATAGGCACAATTATGTTTAGCTCAGTTTTGCTCATTATAATGTAATTTTTATGTGTGCAGCAGATCATAATACATTTTTAGTTGAATAGCAATTCTCACAGTAACAGACTGATTTTTGTCCAAATTAACTGTGACAGTGTGGGAAAGAATAAAGAGCCCGTTTTATTAAAACTAGTGCATTTTTAAAAAATTGCCCAGAATGCTAGTTTTATAAGAGGGAAAGAAAAGCCAGAAATAAATATAAAGCATAATATCAGCTGGAGCCTATAGATGTTTTACTTTAGAATCATAAAAAATAAACTGTTTCTTGGCTTGCAACGTGGCTTGGTGGTACAGCACTTGCCTGACATGAGTGGGCATAGTGCTACACACCTATAATCCCAGTCACTGGGGAGGCTAAGGCAGGAGGCTCACAAGTTTGAGGCCAGACTCAGCAACTTAGCAAGGCCCTGCTTTAAAATAAAAGATAAAAAGGGCTGGGGATGTAGCCATCACAGTCTTTGTCCTAGGTAAGGAACTGTGCAGAAGTAAGGAAATTTTGTAGGTGACATAAATGTTCTGAATCTCATTTTGGGTGAGGATTACGCATGGGTCAAAAGCCACTTAACTAAGCACTCAAAGATTTGTCCATTTTACTGCATATAAATTGCATATTAATTTAAAAAGAGAAGATGGAGAGTGGGTACCAGAGTTGCATCCCTGTGTGGGAGCCTATCAGGCACTGCTGTAGCTTCTCAAAACATAACAAATATAGAACATTTCCAAACCAAGTCATGATTTTTCCTGATACTTCTTTCTCTGAGTCATTACTTGTTGCATTTTCACAGACTTGGGGGGAAATTCAGTCAACAATTAACCAGACAATAAAAACAAAGATGTCCACAAAAATATTGTCCTTTTAGAACACATAATTTTCTACATGGCTTAATTTAATCTCTTGGCAGAGGACTACAGACGCATGCCTTTGGTAGTGTGCTCAGCAATTTCAATTGGCATCTGGTATAATAAAAAAAATAAAGCAACTCAGACAATAAATGGTTTTTAAAATGTGCACTAAGAAAATGAGCATTGGGATGTCTGCATATCTGTTCAATTATGTGGTCAGCAATAAAGATATCTGAGAATTTAGGAAAGATATCAAATACCTGTCATAGAGTTTGCTAAGAACACAAGACAGGTAATACCAGAGAAGTGCAGTAAGAATCCCACAATGAACTGAATTTCTGAAGAGTTCATGGGTTTAAAAAATAATCTTTGCTGGTAAGTGCTTTGTTCTCTAGGGTAGAGGGAATTTAAAATCACACTTGTATGCGCTATATTTCAACTGCTTGACAATATTAGGTTATCACAGAAATCTTTTTTTTTTAACTCTCCCAAAGCTTAGAAAAATTTTCTGGAACTTACTATGTGAAGATTTATTCATCATCTCAAG